GAGCAGGCAAAGGGGCACTCTGGCCATGCTGCCCTGGCCAGGGCTTGGAGAGTATTGCAGATCCCTGGCTTATCCCTGCATGGATCCTGGGATCCAGCTTGATTGCAGCAAAGAGTAAAGGGACCAGGAGAGGAGGAAAAGCTGGCAGGTGTCCAGCTAAGTTATTCAGAGTGGGCTGTCCACTCTGCTTTCAGTCTGTTTCAGTATTGCTAGATAACAAAATATAACATATTATTGACCAGATTCCACTTTCTCTGCCTCAAAAACTATCTTTGCGACCGCTGTGGGTTGTTTTCAATAGCTTTTGGCTTACAAGAGCTTTCTCTTTCTTTTTATTAAAATTTAAAATCGTTAAAAATTTGATTAAATTAAACCAAATGGACTTTGTTCTCCACTGGAAGCTGTTTATGTAACATCTGTTTTAAATAAGTTCAAAACTCAGTCCATTCAACTGCACAAAATAAAATGCTGAAAATACTGTATCTGTTGTGATTTTTTTTTTTTTTAAATCAGACTGTTCCCCCTCCACCTGACTTACTTCCCAGGCTCAAGCTCAGTCCTGTGTGCCCGATGCAGTCCAGGGGCAGCCTGCTGGATTAACATTTGCCTGATCCACACAGCTGGCAAAGACCGGGCAAAATCGTTTAGAACTAATTGTACAAATTGCTGCTTTTTCGGATAAAAAAAGCATTAGCAAGCAGAATTTGCAGTGTTTTTTGTTGGCATTAAATGCGCTGCGCTCTATATCAGATCAGATAGCCGAACTTATGTGTGTTCCTGGGACAGTCTGAGCAGGGATCCCTTCAGCCGCCTGCCCGGGCACCCGCGTCCCGCTTTCTCATCACCTCCCCCGCCTCCTCCTCCTTTTATATATTCATGAGGCAGCACGGCCGGGGATAAATAAAAGCCGAGCAAGCCGGGGCGGCAGCACAGGAAGAGGAACTGTGAGCGCCGGCACGGATCCTGCCTCCTTATCTTTGCCGGGACAGTGCCTGCCGGCTTGCTGGGGAGATAACTGTTCCCTGCTCTCTCGGGCGGCAGCTGGATGAGCTCTGGATGCGAGGAGGAGGCAAGTTAACAGTAAGTGAGTCAGTCTCACCAGGGGTAAGATAACACCATTTTTAGAATGTGTCTCTTTTTAAGTTCAGAGCCAGGCCTGATGTGAGGCTGCATCCACCCCCCTGCTCCCTTCCCAGCTGATTGCTCCCCCAGCACGCATTCATCTCCTGGGATCCACTACTGGGGCCAGAGGTATCCTTGTGGGCCCACAGGTGGAGGAGAGCCTGGAAGCAGAAAACACGTGCACAAGCAAGGACTTTCTATGTAATTCACAGGGGACCATTTCAAAATGTTGAGCCCTTCTCCAGCCTGTTTTGCTCTGGAGAGAGACTGGCGTGGAGGGCCACTAAAGCCTGGTGTTGAAGGATTATGTTGCAGTTGTGCTTTTCTGGGGAAGGGCAGAGCTCTCAGACTTCACACGTGCCTGTCTCCTATGATCTCTTACTACTCCCATGGTCTAACTTCCATCCTCTTTCTTCTGGGATTGCAAAGAGACACACCTCTATCACTGCAGAGGAACCTATGGGGTTTTCTGCCCATAAGTAACCCCTCTGAGAGCTGGATTGTACTGAAAGGGTACAACAAGGTCTTTTCTTGACTGTAGGGAATCAGGATCTGATTATCTCAAGCCAAAGCCAAAAGCATCTCAAGTTCTACGGCCCCTGCTTCTGCTACTGGGACACTATCAGCACAGCCAGGACTTCATCACCAGCACCCCTTATTCAGACAGGGCTCTATCCCAGGTTGCAAGCAGAGTCCTGACCCCCCACCAATCCCCCATTCCAGGGCTAGACCTTTGCCACGTTTCAGGTCTGTGTGACGTGCTGCCAGTCTGATCCAAGGTTCAATATCTGCTCTTCACCCTCTCCACAGTCTTGCTGTGTGCAATCAGCATCATGGAGAGTGTGCTAATGCATAGTCCTAAATGCAGGGGACAGTGGTACCACGTGCTTCCCTCAGCACTGAGCATCCAGTTGGCCCATCCTGCAGAAGCTGTGGAACAACTTCATATCCCAAGGGCTCATTGCTCAGATGTCACTTCTCACCTCTGCTAATGCTTCAATCTTTTCCCCTTGCCTAGGTGCAACTCTAAGATGAAGCCCTCAGCTGGACAAGGCGTAAGGCTGGCATATGTTCTCCTGAGTTTGGCTCCTCTCTGCCTTCCCACTCCGCTCTGGAAGGACCGGGACTCCCTAATGCAGGAGGAGAAAGCCCGACAGACAGGGGGCAACTTGGTGCTGAGTAGGCAGGAAGAGCAGCTCAGTACAAAGCTCGTAAACCTCAAGAAGAAGGAAGTTGCAACAGCCACAACCACGGGACAGTTTCCTCCAAGCATGCACTTCTTCCGGGCCAAAAGCCTCATTGATCAGAGCATGGTGTTCAGCATCTTAAAGCGCATGCCTAAAGGTAGGCTTGGCCTAAGGATTGCTCATCTTACCCATCCTTGTCTCACCTTCTGCTTTCTGTGGCTGAGCCAGGGCAAAGCATGAGATGTGTGAGGCAATCTTATGAGAGCTGTAAGTCGTGCTCCCTGGGTTCCAGGAAAAGCTCTGCCTCTGAGCTCAGGGACAGGGCAGGGGGAAAGAGGAAGAGGGGGATGGATTGGATGAATACACATTTCCAGCAATTGTGGCATTTGGTTTAACTTACAATATGGATCCTTCAGCCTTTCAAGAGTGAAGAAAGGGCAGAGGAAGCACAGACAACAAGACATAACATCCACATTTGCTCAGCATGTTCCAGCCAGGGCCTTTCTTTTTCCCACATACACATTTCACAGACGTGCTACCAACCTTGACTTATTCTACAGCTTAGCCAAAAGTGCTGTATCTCCCAAAAAGACTTTCTGAGGGTAGTTCTGCAGCAGACCTGGACATCTACTGGAAAGTTGGGGGCACTAGAGGAGGAAGAGGCTACCTCCAACACTGCAAGTTTCTTTGCTTATTGTATACAAATCAAAGCCTGAGTACTTCCAGCACTTAAAGTAGGCTTGTAAAAGGAAGAGAGAGCAACTTTTTACATGGGCAGATAGTGACAGGACAAGGGAGAACAGTATTAAACTAGAAGAGTAGAGATTTAGATGTTAGAAAAAAAGTCTTTGCTCAGAGGGTAGTGAGGCACTGGAACAGCTTGCCTAGAAAGTTGTGAATGCCCCATCCCTGGAAGTGTTCAAGGCCAGGTTGGCTGGGGCCTAAAGCAACCTTCACCACTTCTCTCTCCCAGTTTCTGCTGTGGGATGCAGATCCCTGTCTTGCAGCATCCTAATCTATTACTGTAAATGATTACTATACCAGAAATATCATTATCCTTTCATTGCTGAATTGAGCACTAGAAAGAATTTTAAAGTACCCCCCTCTTCACCTACAGTGGGGTATCATCGATACCAAGTTGAAACCGAAACAAATAGTTAACACTTTTCAACACAGGAGATGTTAAAATGGGTTCTTGGAATCTTCACAAGAGCCATAAGGTTTTAGGGCCAAGATCACATGCTTGTAGCTGTTTGAGTAGGATCTAATCTTGATAAGAGCCCCTGGGAGTTCCTGTTGTTTCAAGCACTATTGTCAGTTCTGCTGCTGCTCACATAGGAAAGAAGGTGACATTGCCAGCGAGAGGAGGGTCAGATCTAGACAGCTGCAGCATGGCCAGTCTGTCACACTGGCTCTGCTGACAGCAGCAACCACAGTTCCTGAGCATCTTAACAGCCAGTCCCTCTGTCTGCACTGGGAGGTTATACACATTAGAGTCTATATTAGATTAGTCCACTATAAGTTTTAGTCTTGAACTTTGTCTAATGCCAAATACATACCAGTCTTCTGTCTTGTTCTTGCTATTCACGTTCTCCCTTTACCCCTAAGGCCATCAAAGCTATTCTGTCTATGAGGTCTCCCCTAGACTAATAAAATACATATCTAAGACTTCAGCTCTCACAGTATCTTCCCTTTACAAAGATGAAGTTTAGTTCAAGCACCAATGGCCTAAGGGGTCTCTGCAAAAGGAGAGATTTTAGCCTAATGAAACGATGAGGAAGGTGAGCATACAGAGGATGCTTCCTGTGCCAGGAAGACTGGCAGTTGCCAGCATACTGCACAATGACAGAGCATCCCAGAGGCCCTTTGTGTTGGCCAGCAGCAACTGTACAATATAAGCGAGTGTGCTTTTGGTAAGACATAGCAGTATATTGTACTTCTGCATCTGAGTGCAATTCCCCAGTGTATCATGGTCTGGGATTTTGGTGTATGCCAGAGTTTCAGAGAGTTGAAAGAAGAGCCACAGACTGGCTGCAAAAATTGAAGCTGGGATTCAAACAGCTTAGATACAGAGCTTTGCTTCAGGTGTGCCAGACAGTTAGCATGCCTTGTAAACTGCTGCCTACGGTGTGAGTTCCTCTTTAAATCAGTGGGGCCTGAGCCAGCTCACAGCAAAGTCTGTCTGAAAGACCTTTAATAACTCGGAGCATTTTCCATCCCAGTGGAGAAGCAGAGCTCCCTATTGATTTCCCCCCTCCCTGTGCTCCCAGGGAGCTGTCACGCTCTGCCTGCCCAGTGTTTGATGTGGAGGGGGCCGCATCCCCTAGCCCGGGGGAGGCAGAGCAGCCGCGCAGTCTTTGCTGGGAGAGGTCACTCACAGCCATCTAGAAGCTTTTCCAGATGCCTCTGGATGGGCAAACTCAAACTATTATCACATCAAACCTCAGTTCCTTCTTCTCAGCTGCCTTGACTCATTATTAGGACGTACTTGTCCTCCCACCAGGTGCTGTCTTACACCTGCACGACTACGCCATGCTGAGCGTGGACTGGCTGGTGTACAATGCCTCCTACCTCCCCAACTGCTACATCTGCTTCACCCACACGGGCACCGTCCGATTTCGCTTTTCCAAGCCGCACCCTCCTCACCCACTGCCAGCCCAGTGTTCCCAGTGGGTTTTGCTGGAGACTTACCGGAAACAGCTGCACAACGTGACTGAGTTTGACAGCAGGTGAGTGAAGAGGGGTTGCAAACCTGCTGGTACTCCATGGCAGCACTGTGTAGCCAGCAGGATTATTTTGGTCCAACTGTCCCATTCGCTTGCTGCTCTGGAAGTGGGGAATTCTATTTAGGACTGCTTACGTAGAAAAAAACGATATAAGAGATTGAAGGCTACAGCACTAAGTGCAGCACAGTTAGAGACCACAAAAGCTGAAGTTTTCTGCGCACACTCACTCTGGTCATTTGCAGAGACACGCTGAGGACAGTGGTTTAAGTAGATTTATGTGACCTGCCCCCACCTCTCCTCAGCACCCAGGGTGGATGTGCTCCCAGCATGGGACAGGGCTGCATGTTGCCTCATCCAGTGAGGTACCCAACAACTGGATGAGGAAAGCCAGGTAGCTGACGAACAGGCTCTCCCCAACAGCAGAAAAGGCATTTGTAAAGTCATTGCCTTGATTTGGAGTAAGAAGTTGGGCAAACTACTTATGTTAATTTCTGCACTAGCAAAAAACCCCCAAAGCAGCCCAAAATAAAACCCAACCCAACCTCTCGCTCCACACACCAACCTTGTTTTCTGCAGGCTGTCTTTGAAACCCCACTGGCATCCACCACCCTGAAGCATGAGGCACTCATTCCCAACAGGACCCTCACTCAGGCAGCAGGAGCTGTGACTCACCATCCTGCCCTCAGACAAGGGGTTAGTCTCAGCCTGGGCACTGCCTGAGCCAACAAACCCCACTCAGGACCTCTGCCTAGTGGCACTCTTCCCTCCTCAACATCCTCCTGCTAACAGAGCTTCTCCTCTTACAGGCAAGGCCTCCTATAGCTGTCCAGGAGCTCACACCTCAGATGGCTCCACAGAGCATCACTCACCCTCTTGTAAAAGCTTCCCTCCCTGCAGGCATCTCCTACCTTAACTGCTGGCAGCCTATTATCAGTACACAAGGCATTAGTTGGCTGCTCAGCAGCCACCTACCATCTAATCACTTACAGGTGGCTGGGAATAGCCTGGCTCCCCCTCCAGCTGAATCATATCTGCCCATCCAGGGGCCATTGATCCCTGGACAAAGCCCTGCCTAAAAGGCCAGGAGGAAGCATACAGTTCTGCGTGGAATAGGGTGGGGGCTGGAGAGAGCACACTAAATAATGCATGAAGTCAGACACTGAGCGATGAGGACAAAGGAAAATATTGAGTAGACATCCATTCAGAGGGCACTGCTGTCCATGGCACTCCCGGGGCTGGGGTCTGCTAAAAAAAAATAGTATGGGATGTCATGTGATGAAAGAGTATCGCCATGCCAACACATAAGGAGAGGCTGGATTGAGGTGACACAGATGACCCTAATTACAGCATTTCCTAAGTGAAACTTGGTATGGTTTACTGTAATGCCTCCCTCTTTAGGGAGGTTTTTTGCTCTTAAATAGAGACCTTTTAACTCTTAGGGAACTGGTATCCTCTCCACACAGAAGCTGTCTGGTCTTTGTTCCCTACAGATCTGGAAAGGAGGTCAGGTTGGGAAGCTGAGGAGCTGCCAGACCTTTGGCATGATATTGCCTTCCCTTCTTGACAACAGCAAGGGGCAGGGCAGAGGAATCTGACTTTACAGACTATCACCCACTCTCCCTCTCTTACAGAGGTACAGAAGGGAAGCAGAAAGTCATGCCAGACCCCAGACTCTTGACCTTGTATATCCTGAGGCTCAACTGCCCTGACACGTCATGGACAAAATAAGATCTAGTGAGAAGTCACTTATCTATGTTTTCCAAAGAGAAAACTGGTTCCCCATTAGCTCCATGCCATTTCTACAGGGAATGATGAGGAGGGAAAGATGACAGCACCAGCTCTCTTCAACACCACCAGGAGACCCATAAATAATGTGCAAGAGATTGGATTTTGAAACAGCTTCACTTCCTTAGAGCCCAAGCAATTGCACTGGGTATTTAGAACTGTCTCAGGAGCAACCCTTAGCTGTATTTGTTTTCAGTTGTATTTCCATCTCTGTCTGGTTGAGGCTTGAGGCCCAGGCATCCTATGCACCTGGGAGACTGGAGCTGTGTATTATTTGGTTACCTCTGTTCCTGTTTGGAAATATGACTTGTTTTCAGAGGCAGTATTACCACATTCCTCTTCTTTTGTGTTAGTTGTCTGTCTAGTAGTCACAAGTCAGAGCAAGACTTCAGTGTGTCAGGCACTGCACAGGGACATGAGACAGACTCCGCTGAAAGGGTCTCCCCAAATGTGGAGGAGAAACTGAGGCAGAGACCAATGATGTGATTTTCCTCAGCAAACACGTGCCAGAGCAAGTACAACTTTGGATCTCTCGCATCCTCGGTGCTCACTTATTCATTTGAGTAGGTTGTCCTTCATTTCTTGCCCTTCCGTGCTCATCACCACAAAATCACAGAGGAGTCATTGCGCATAATGTGCAAACACATGGACAAGAGCCACATCGAGGCACTTCCCCTCCTATTTTCATCTAATCCCTGGGTACTAGTCTAGGGGTTAGGAATGTTTTTGGCCGTCTGGAAATAGGTCTCTAGCCAGGAATAGGCCCCAATCTGTTCTGCTTCTCAGTTTCTGGAAACTCTCCCAGTCTCTTGAACATGTGCATCCCAGGCTACCTCTTTCCTGCGCTCCTCTTTGCCCTTGAGCACTGACAAGCTGAGAGAAAGCAGATGTCAGAGGAAAGAATGGATGGACAGTTGGGTGGTTTCAAGGAAGTGTCAAGGGAATATGGCAGCAGGGAAGGGCTCTCGTGCAAGACAGAGTGGATCAGCAAATGTAAAGGGAATAATGGAAATGTTTTTGAGAAGCTGCACCTCCTTCATCTTCCAGCATTCCTTGACCTGGAAGGGGTGGGAGAAAGAGGTATCTGCATTACATTTTTGCTGTTTGTGTTTTTAGGGACATATACATTTTTGTGTGTGTGTGTGTGTTTTGGAAGGATGTGTTTTTGCTTGTTTCCCTCAAAAGAAAGTCTAATCATTCCTATTCAAAACACACACGTCTCATGGGCCAAGACCCTGGAGTATTGTGTTACTGGTAAGCTTCCAAAAGGATGCTATTAGGAGAGTCAGGAGACCATGGGCCAGGAGACAGTGAAAGGAAGGGAATTTTGCTTTGAGACTTAAAAGAAAAAAAACAATCCTCACTTATTTTCTCCTCAGTCATTTACAATACAGGAGAATGACATTTTTTTTCCCCCTCAAGATGCAGCATAATGGCTACCATCTCTAAAGAAAGAGCATGCCCCTAGATATTTAAGGAAACAGCACTGACATTCCAGATATCTGTAAAATACCACCGCACACCCCCCGCCGGCAGCCCGAGGATTAAGGCCGTGCCCGGCAGCACAGCTCCGCCGGCCCAGCGGAGCTCTCCATCACCAGGATGAAGTCATCTGTGAGGAGCCGACACCGCGGCTGAGGCTGCGGGGACAACTCCCATGGGCACCAGCGGCTGCCCAGACCACCATCACCTTCCCCTCCATGTCCTCTGACTGCCTTATCTCACAGAAAAATAGGGCAGTGTGTGCATTATGAGAGGGGGGAAAAAAAGAGAGAATAAAAATCCAGTACAGAAACAAAGCACTCCACTCCCTCTACAAGTCTCCCCTTGGGGAGAAGAAGAGGGGATGAGAGAGCAAGAGAAAGCGAATGAACCACATGTGACAGATGTTAGTCACACTATTTAATGCACCACTGGAAGACATTTAGATACTACAGTGAGGAGAGGGGCATAATTACCCATTGAGAATAGAAAAAGAAGCAGGAAAAGGAGTCCCTTTAAAAACAAGGCAACAACACCCTTCGCTTCTTGCATTCTATAGCACAAGAAAGGAAAACTGGGGGAAAAAACAGGAAAAGAGAAAGCAAACCCACAGTTGAAAATAAATAATCCATAGCTGGTCATTTTAGCTGTGCCCCTTTGGGCATATGCATTGCAATAGCATTGTTTGGTGCATATATGACATGACTTGGAAGGCTATTTGTAGTCTGCACCTGATCACTGGCAAAGGCCCATTCCAGAAAAGAAGGAAAACATGCATTTATGAAGTTTTACTTCATCTGCATGAGCTACTGATGGCAAAAGCCCCTGAACCCTTAGGAGATTATCTAGTTATCAGGGATGGATAACTATTATGCAATAAATCTTCAACAGTTGTAGGGATCAATAATCAGTCTCAAAGGGAAGGGGATTATAAAGAAAAGTACAGTTTGATTTATGTGCCTTTAGGAGCAGGGTGGTGTGGGGATTTATTGCTGTTTCTAGCCCAAGAGCACAGGCTAAGTAAACAACCACAAGTTTGTACAGCTAGATTTAAAGGCGGGGAGCGGAGCCCTGTGCCTGCTCATTGCTGGAGGAGCCGAGTTCTCACAGGACAAGGGGAGAGAGTGGTGGGAGCCCGACTAACCACCCATCCTTATCTGAAACGAAGCTGCACGGAGTGGCGAGAATGGGCTTGCACGGCCTTTTGATCCACGGGGAGGTTTTTCCCTCAGTGCTTGCAGGGCTGGTGGGAACAGCCCCACTCGGCTCTCGGCTCTGGGCAGGTGCTCTCTGCTGGCGTGCGGAGCTGGAGGGGAGCTGCCCTTCAGCCAGGAGGGAAGTGGAAAAGTCTCTTTTCCCCAGCTCTTCCCACACGAAACCTCCTCTCCCCTCCCTGACGAGCGGCAGCACACCCTTTCTGCCGGTGGCTGGCCTCCACCGGAGCTCGGGCAGCTGGATCAGCGCCTCCAAGATGCTCCTGGCTCCTGCATTCCTGGTTTCTAGGGTGATGCTGCAGTGTCTCCCACTGCTGCATGCTCCCTGCTGCCCGCCCCTTCCATGGTCCAGCTCGGTGTCCTCTGGTTGCATGGATTACTGAACAGTAGCTGGGGTTGCCCAGTGTCCTGTGATAATGGCACCAAAGCCCCTATTGTAATGCATGGGAAGGCAGAGCCCAAGTTGCTGTGGAAACCTTAACTCTGAATTTTCCTGACTGTTGAGCATTTAAAATCTCATCCTGAACAGAGTATGAGCATCTCTTTATGAACAGTTTTGCTTCTAAAATTGTTCCTGGCAAAGAAATTAACAGAGTGAGGAAGAAAGGAAACTGCAGCCCCTGGAAGAGCACCCTTAGAAAGTGAAACAGCAGACAAATCCTGGGGGAATGGGCTCTGTTTTATGGGCATGATGGAGGGACTCCAAAGGCATGTCTCTGTCCAGGATGTCTTAGTTTATGAGTTTGGACCAGATCACATTTTACATCTGTAGCGGGGGGTGGTGCTAATACAGAAGCGTCCTGGACGAAGATAATAAGACCACAAATCAAACCCACACCTCCCATATAACAGAGCAGAACACTGCATGAGGACAGAGGCCAAGACATCAAACACAGAACATTATTAAAGATCAGTAGCTGTTATTGAGGGGAAACAATATACTGGGATGAAAGCTGAAGCATGGCTGAAGGTATTTCTATCTGAACCTGCTTAGCCCCTGACATGAGATAAGCTCCAGGCCTGGCCTGGCTGGTGAGCCCACCCACCTGCAAGCAAACAGCTCTACAGTTTGCTGCAATGCCTTCCATTTTTCCCCCCAGGAATGAAGCTAATCACCTCTATACTGCCATTTAGACTTTGCCCGCTGGCCTGAGAGATTTATTATGAACTCCTCTTCAGGTGACCACCAGCTGTTGCCAGAGGCAAGGCTTCAGGTGGGATGAAGGCTATCAGCTTGTCAGAGGATGGTGTGGTGGCACAAACGCTCACTCTGTCCTAAATGCAAGTTGTCACCCACAATTAGGTAATCTTGCAATTACTGGCTCCCTTAAACTCTGCTTGATAACACTGCCCCCCGTCTCTCTGGATTTCTGAAGGAAGCTTATATGCCAGCTGAGTTTATGGAGGAAACAGTGGGAGTTTCCATCCCACTAAGGAAAAGCCAGGACCTTCTTGTCAGCTGTTTCCCTAAAGAAGGTATCAGCAAGGCAGGCAGGCAGGGTGTCAGGGTTGGTCCACTGGTGGGGGAAAATAATTTGTGATTCACAGTTGTTTTCCCCCTGCTTTTTTTAGATGGCGTATTTTGAGAATACGAAGGTACCAGGACAACTTATGGGCTCAATAAGCGGCTTGGTGGTGGCTCAGTACATGGCATCTCCTGGAGACCCAGTCTGCCTTTAGATAGTGAACAGAGGGCCAAGTGTCATAACATTTTACATGCACTGAAGGTGCTTGGGGGAATATATTGTCTGCAGGAGTAGTGTACTTGCCTACTTTGGGAGTAAGGATACCCCTGGGCAGCAGAGTGCAATTCTTGTGATATAAAAGCACCATACTTGCTTTTGTAACCCTATTACTCTGATTTTGTCCTTGAAAAAGGGAGGGGCAGGTTTTGAACACCTAGTCTTACCCTGCTTACAGCTCAACATGTTCTTGTATGACTTCTGTACCAGCCATTAGAACAGTAAATACAGGTGGCAGAAAAATGACCTGAATGCTTTCTAGTTGCACCAGTTGCTGTTACAACTGTTGTACTGCAGTGCCAGTTGTACTGAGTTAGATTTTGGGCCCCTGTTGTGGCAGGAAGGGCTTTGCACCTTCTCTTGGTCCTGCCCAGGGAACACGTGCCTCCTCCAGCACAGCCGCTGCCCTGATGCTCCCCAGAGCATGAGAGAGGGAGAGTGTCATGGGCACAAAGCTTGGTCTCTGACAACAAAAGTCACACCTATCCTGGAGGAATCTATTTCCTCCTGTACCCAACACTCAGCTGCCAGCTGGTGGCTTTTTGCATGCTGAAAGCCAGTTATCCTGTTTGTTCTCCTCATTCTTTCTCTTTTCCCTTCTCTACAGCTTGCTGAGAAACCTGACCCTGGTGACAGATGCCCCTGAGCAGGCCTACCCTTCTCAGGCTTTCATTTGGAAAAGATTTGAAGAAGTCTTTCTCATTGCCTCTGGACTTATCTGCTATGCACCTGTGTTCAAGGCCTATTTCTACCAGGGGCTGCTGGAGCTCTATGAAGATAACGTGCAGTATGTCGAGATAAGAGCTATCCTGCCTGCAGTACGTATTTTTTGGCCTCTCTAGTATTCTTTTAAATCCTTATTTCTCCATACCTTTTCTCAAGCCCTATCTTGAATTTAGTTTTTGGATGTTTGCATACCTGCCCTTCTAAGGATGCTGGAAAACCTGGATCGTATTCAAAGGTCTTTGTTGGAGATTTGCATAGGCAAGGGCTTGAAAGTGAGACATGCTTTGTTCTTAATGGCTAAGGGAGATACCTACTGTGGCATCAGCACAAAACTGCATTGTACAGTCTGACTGGGAGATGTGTCAAAATCTTGCTTATTGGGAAGATGTATCTCAGCTTTGTCTGCACCAGAATCACCTGTTCCATGGCAGCTATTCTTGAAAAATTTCCTGTCTTGCATAGAGACTCATTCTGGGATAGCTATGTTATTTTAAATCCTCAGCTTATTTCAGAATGATTTCTCTGAATAGGCTCAATAAATTGGCAAAGCACTGTCTTGCACAGTTTGCAGACAACCTAAAATTTTGGCTATGTATTTTAAGCATGAACTGCTCCTTTCATTGCCCCTAACACTAAAATCTGCTGGAAATGGTTTAGGCCTTTCTCCCTGTGTGTCACCCAGAACTGGTCTGATTGTCCTACAAAGCCACTCTGCCCTAATGCCTTCCCAAGCACCAGCAGACCACACCACTGTTCTTTGGCTGTGTAACAGTTCCCACTTTCCCAGTGAAAATTTCAACACTGCAGGCACACCTTTCCCATACAATCCTCCAGCCCAGCTCCAAGAGGGGTAGCATGGGGTTGGGAGTTCTGCCAGAGGGGAAAATGCCTTAGCAAAGCAAACAAATCAGGGCTGCTGCTCCTCACTGCACCACCTACCTCCATATTCTTAACTATCCATTACAACAGGAATGAAGCTGCTGTACAAGGTTCATCCAGAAGCATCTGAAGGACCAGGAGGTGGTGGTGGGTTGTGCATGGGAATGCAGGTATCAGCTTGCTGCTGGTGCCACAGCATCCAGTGGATTCAGTAGCCATGCGGATGTCCTGCTGGTGGCTTAACTCCTGAATGTGCCTGCCGGCATCTTCCTTAAATCCCTGCCCTTGCATGCAATGGTTGGGGGGCTCCAGCCAGCTGCAGATGAATGTCTGTGCCCCGGCAACCACCTCTGCTGCTGGGCAGGCCTCCACAGCCACCCCCACCAGCACACAGGCAGGTGCTGTGACAAATTTGGAGGCTGATCTGGCTTTGTCCCAACAGCTGGGGAGCAGGGCTGCTGACCCTGCCCTGTTGAGGCTTGGGCTGGCCCCATAGCAAGACAGGGCTCGGTGTCAGGGCTTCAGGCTGCCACTCAGTTGTGTCTGAGATGAGTGTTTTGAAAAGGTCAAAAAAAAAGGGAGGAGGAGAAGACCACAAAGTTTACGTGTATCTTACTTTGCTGAGGGTTGTCATAAGGCAGTTGCTCTGAACTCAGTCACCATCTGTCTTTGGGGTACCTCAGAAGAGAAAATAACAGCAATGTCAGAATTCCTGTGCTGTGAGACAGCGTGAGCACTGGCATCCCCCCAGGTCACACATGTTTCTGGGCCAAGAGAAGCTGCGTGGGCCTGACGGGAAAATACCCTGCCTTTACCATCAGCCCTGAGACACGGTTGTGAAGTCTTTTGAAGGGAGGCTTGGCAGGGAAGATTTGCTTCCCATCCAGCTCCTAATGCTGGCTGCCGACATGGGAGCCTCCAGAGCCCCGGGGCTTGCTCACACCCTGCAGCTCGGTGTGCTGTGAGGTACAGGCAGGCTGCCTGCAGCCCAGGTACCACAGTGAGGGATGCCAGGAGCTGCAACCACCCCGGGCTGGAGGGCAGCACGGGCAGGGAAGGGACAACCGGGACAACCGGACTGAAGCTGGGATGAGAGGGAAGGGAAACACTTCGCTGTTTTAGTCAAGGTGAGCAGGGTGTGACAGGAATAACAAGATGCTGGTGTGGCTGGAGATCCTCTACAAGGCCTGGACAACAGCACTGACACTGCAAAACCTCTCCTTGCAGCAAAGCCTGCCAGAAGCGGCCCCTGAAGAAAAGTAAATGAACGCTGGGATTAAGTGTGAAATGGCAAACATTGTGGAAAAGCCCCCCAAGCCCAGCTGTGTTTGCAGATTCAGCTGTGTAAAGTCTCACATTCCCATGGGCTGCAGCTGGGGAAGAGTTCCCTCTGGGCATCTGCAGCTGCCCCACAGCTGCTGGTGCCTGCAAGGGGGTCAGCACGGTGCGGGGGCTTAGTGAGGCTCATCACTGCAAGGGGCAGCACCGGGCAGAAATAAAACGGTGCAGAGGAGCAGCTGAGGGGTGGAGGAAAAGGATGAAAGAGAAAAGAATGGTGAGAAGAAAACTGAGGGACTCAGCCACTGTTGAGTGAGCAACTCCAGGCAGGGCTTTTGTATCACTGGGGGCATTCAGTGCCTACACCCCCGATGAAATCAGGGCAAAAGCCCTGAGTACAGCCTTGGTAGTGAGGAATCCCCAGAGTAAGTTGATTAAACAGAGTATGCCAAAAGAATTATTCTTCCTAGTTCGCAGCCAGAGAACTGAGAAGGCATGGGAAGACTAAACGACCCTCTCAAGGTCATGGAGCAAACCTCTGGCAAAGGGGAGCAGAAGCCCAGCCCAGCTGGTAGCTTATGGAACTCGGCCCTCGCGTGCCTTGGGGCTGCCTTGGCTGACAGACTGCCACTGCAAGGCACAGAGTGTGTGAGCCGCCAGACGGCTGGACAAAACACTCCAGCATTTGATACAGACGTGAGTAAGAGGTCACGGTCTCCTCTGGGTACTCAAGGGCACTTGCTTGCTGTGTCTGAACACGGAGAAACTTGTTTCTTGTATCACACAGGAGGGAGGAAAACCATTCCTTGGTTCTTGCCAGCTGGTAAAGGCTTCAAGAAGAAAATATTCTGCACAGATTTAGCTGGGATTTTTTTTTCCTGCCCTGTTCCCAGGACCGTAACACATTGTTTCTTCCAAGGTTTTCTTCAGTTCATTTCTCCCACTTTCCAGTAAAACACCTCTTCTAACTACTGCTTGTGATGTGCTTTTCATCCTGCAGGTGTATGAACTGGATGGCACCCAGCACAATAAATCATGGTCCGTGGCAACCTATCGGGAAGTGACCAGGCAGTTTGTGAAGGAGCACCCTGACTTCGTTGGAGCCAAGATTATATTTACAGCGCACAGGTAGACAGAGGCTGTGCAGGGCTAAGAGCGGCCCTGCGTGGCTGGCTGTGCTGGGAGGGAGGGGGCCAGGCCAGGAGAAGCAGTGCTGAAGTGTCACAGTTGGTTAGCAATGTCCACGTGCGTTGTCAGACCCGGGGTGTTGACTCCCGAGGCATTCCCTGGCATGTGCAAAAGGCTGAGGGTGAGAAATCATCTATATAAGTCTGTGTACGTGCGAAGTGAGCAGGGTTAGCTCGTGGTGTGCGCCAGAGGACGGGAGTCTGTGAGCCCTGGGTGCGGGAACAAGCAAGGGAAGGGCTGCCTGTGTGCGTGTCCAAGCTGTGTGTGCTCCCTTCCCGAGCCTGGACACACTCCCGGTCTCTGCAGGAACAGAAGCAGTGACAGCAGTGCCCGAGTATGGGCACTTGGTGCTGCAAAGGCCCCCGTGGGACCCTGCAGACGCTGCTCTCCCGGCAGCCTTTGTACGGTATGTTCGTGCTGCTGCTCGCAGGCGGGCACGAGGCTGTTCTCCAAGTCAGCCAGATGCCATGAAGTCATGTGAGGTGATCCTGAGCAAACAGAGCAGACCTCTCAGCAGCATTTACTCGCTCTGGTTCGGCACAGTGCTGTTTCCAGCTCAGAGCTGGCTTGTCTTTGGACAGGTTGGATATGGACACAGTGTGTCTGCAAAACGAGCCGAGATGTTAAAGTCTGATAGGGCTGGAACAAACCCAAATTTAAAACTCCCTTGAAATGCAGTCACTGTCTCACCTTCCAACAAAACAGTCGAGAGGGAAAAAAAAAATCAAACATTTTCTCTCCACGCTGTTGTGTTCCCTGCTTGGTGGATGTGAAAGCCAGTGAATCAGACAGGCATGCCTCAACTCAAGTGACAGCAGGGTCTAGCCAGGCATTTCCTGGTCATTCAGGGGCTTCCTTTCATAATATCAATTTTCTGCTGCTGTTACTCTGGAGACCTGAAGCTGGTTGTCAGATTCGGGAGCAACTTGCATTCTGGAAATACCCCTGGGGGCCCCATTTCACAAGTCAAACCCAAAGAAGGCGGGCCCATGGGAGTGAGCCTCTGCACTGCTTTCTCTCTCTTGCTCTTTAGGATGCTGAACGTTTCCCAGATTAAAGAAGCCATCGTCACTGCCATGGCGCTCAGAGCCCAATTCCCAGACACCTTGGCAGGCTTCGACCTGGTAACCGTATTTCTTCTGTGGCTTCACATTAACCCCTAGTGATATAACTACATATATAATATGGCATATGTTGTATACCAGAGGCAGAACCTCTGCTGCTGTACTGAAATCAGTGTTAATGGGTTTCAAATCCTCCAGCTAAGGATTTTGTTTCGGGTAATTGGCAAAATCCCCTGAAAGAATCAGCTCCCCACCCCACAGCACTGCCATTTCTGTACAGCTGGTGCCTCAGTGATATATAGCTGTTATTCCCACCATCTTCCCAAGTGTGTTCAAAAATACCTTTCTTTTTTCCTCTAGGTTGGTGATGAGGATGAAGGTCATTCTTTATGGGACCTGAAGGATGCCCTGACCATCCCATATTCCATGGGGGTCAGCTTGCCGTACTTTTTCCATGCTGGCGAGACTGGTAAGCATGAGGGCTCAAGGCCTGTTATTGCTTGCAGAGGCAAGACTGAAGTCTTGCAAAGCACAGAAGAAGCAAGCCTGGATGTGTTAAGATGATGTGTGTGTATACATGTGTACATAATCAGTTTTCCTTATCCTTCTCCCCATATCAGCCTGTTGCTGTAGCATTCCTACAGGAATACTCCCTTACCTACTCCCTGCTTTTGACTGCAGGTGTCATGTTGCTCAGTGTCTTTGACATGGAGTCATGCTGTAAGAGTTATTGCTGGTAGCCATTTCCTTCTTGGAGCAGCACTCACCTCCCATTCATAGTGGTAGCAGAATTCCTGAGCCATTATTTTACATTTTAAGGTGAAGAAATGTCTGAGCCAGTCTTGAGTCTTAACTGAATACGCTCATCAAAGTAACCAATGTACCCTTCATTTCATTACTGGGGCAATGTATTATTGTTGGCCATATATCATTCAGTCAGTATGGGTGGGATTTATCCTAACCATGCATGGCAGTTGTGTCTAACTTGTGCATTATGTGTATTGCTTGTTGACATCTACAGAGAAGGGGTCTACTTCTGAACTAGTTTCCCTGGGCTCCTTTTGTAGCCACGGGCAGTAACAAGCTCTTCTGAGGCACAGTTACATCTCACCCTATTGCACAGGCTACTCCCCACAAATTATTGCTTCTCTCCATTGACAATGAATGGAGACCAGCATGATTAGCTTAGCTGTAAGAGCAGCACTGTGGAGATCTAAAGCCAGGTGAAATGAGTGGATATCTCTGTGCTGAGCAATATCCTGGGGCAGAATTAAATCCCTGTTTCACTGAAAATGCAAGTGGAACCCTCTTACCTTGCAACTGGGGCATCTATTAACAAAATCATCCAGCAGTTTGAGAAGACATACTTCCTCACAGCACTGCAGTGACTCTTGCCTGTCTCTGCTCAGATTGGCAGGGCACCTCTGTAGACAATAACGTGCTGGATGCACTGCTCCTGAACACCAGCAGGATTGGCCACGGACTCGCTCTCATTAAACACCCAGTAGCCAAAAATTTGTCTCTGAAGAGGGATATTCCTGTAGAAGTCTGCCCCATCTCCAACCAGGTATGTTGTTAAAAGCTTAGTTCTTGGGGCTGGGACACTGGAATGGGGTTCACCATAGCAGTGGGGAGCAGCAGGGAGCTGGGGGGCTACTAGTTTTGATGCACACAGGCTGATTGTTTTCCTTGCGCCACATTACACTGCAGTTTGCTACATAGGCACACACTGTGAATATATATAAGGCTCGTAATACCAGTCAGCAAAAAAAATCATTTATATTCCTACCCAGAGGAACTTGGGTAGGCAGTCCTCCCTAGTGGAGATGGTGCTTAGAGCCAGGGAGGTATCTAAAGAGATATAATGGAAAATACTTCAAAGCCAGGAGGGCCAGAGGCTGAGAAGCAGGGATTGTAACTGGAAGTCTCTTGGTTTTGTAGAATTCATAAGCAGTGGGAACTCTTCTGCAGCACATTAACGTGGTGCCCATTGTCCCCTGGGTGCAGCAGAAAGGATGCTTTGGGGTAGAGATGTACTGGTGTGAGCCTTAAGGGAGAGAACACTGATACCAGCTCCAGATGCCCTGAGCTAAGCATCATGGCAAGCATGTAACCGAAAGACTGTTCCTGAAATGCTCGCAGTCAAATCGTTATACATAAGCAGAAGTTATTCACCCCACCGGCCTTGACTTAGGCAATTCATTTAAGCAACTCATCTCCTTGAGGAGACAAGTTGGTCCCTCCCACAGCAGTTCAGAGAAGAACGCACTCTGAACAGCCCTCTGGAGGCTGTCCCTCCCGGGTGACTCCCTGCTGGCACAGGCAGCTGTGGCAGGTATCCGAACACGGCTACAGCAACAACCTGACGCGGTGTCATCTCCACCCTTCCCACCGAGGTCCTGCTGCTGGTAGCTGACCTGCGGAGTCACCCCGCAGCTGACCTCATGGCTGAGGGGCACCCCATTGTGATCAGCCCTGATGATCCCCCTATCTTTGGAGCAAAGGGAGTCTCCTATGACTTCTACGAGGTGTTCATGGCCATCGGAGGGATGAATGCCGACCTGAGGACCTTAAAACAACTTGCACTCAACTCCATAAAGTAAGTTCCTCACCTCTCTCATCTAGCCATAGTAATCATAAGGAGACTATCAGCTTGCTCCCCAGAAACCCACTGTATTTGGGTTTTGGCCCCAGAGTCTCCTCTGCCACGTGAACTGGGCTTCCATGAATCCAAAATCTCTGCTATGTGTCTTCTCTAAAGGCAGGACACAGGGACCCCAGAGGCTCCTCTGCCTGTGCTCTCCCTTTCTGTAACTCTGTGTCTCAGTTTAATCTTCCTTTTCCATCATTTGTGAACTTGCCTGCAGCACCTGGTTCTGGGTATGGGAGAAATCTTATGTCTCTGTATCACTTGTCTATTTCTGCCAAAATTTGACTTGCTGCAGTGTTTGCCATGGCTCACCTGGGAAACACAGGAAAACAACCTACCAGAATTTAGTTTGAGTGTGTTTAACAACTTTTTCTATTTATCTGGGCAGCTCTGAATGTCCCAGAATAGTTTGGATATGATGCCCAGGGTCTTTGTGCACATTCCTCAGCTCTTGCCTGTTTGCCAAATCCTGTGCCAATCCTCAAGGCAATCCCAAGTCCCTGCATGGCCAGGGAGACAACAAATACTCTGATTTCCTACCAATTTGGACCAAGCCCAGGGCACATCAGAAAGCAGCAGCAGTGCTGTCTCTTCTGTACTAGTCAGCGGTTGCTGCCCAACGAGTCTCCAGCTGATGCAGACTGAGCTGTTTGTCCTCATGGTGCAGGACTCAGTAGCTGCTGATGTGGCTGTGATGTGTCTTGTCCCAGCGTGAGCCCAGCTGGCAGGAGCTCCAGGCTCTTTACACTGTGTCACTCTGAGCAGCGCAGGCACGTCCTGCAAGGGTTAACATGCTGCTGTTTCCTGCCTTTTCATTTTGGTGCTGATCTTGAAATAGCTGCCCCCTTGTCTCCTGCCTGACACTGACTTTTCTCCTCCTCACAGATACAGTGCCATGCTACCGGATGAGAAAGCCAAGGCCAAAGAGGTCTGGCAGAAAAAATGGGACCAATTTGTGGCTGACCTCTCTGATAGCTTTTTAAGGGAGCTTTAGAGAGGACAAGACTCATCTCAGAAGGCATTTGGCAAGCCAGAGTGATTGCTAGGAGGGAGACTCTTTCTTCCATGTGACCTGAGCAGATGAATGAACCTCGAGGTCTTACCTGGCAGTGAGCGACTCTGGTAAGCCAGGCTTAATGGGCTTAATACTGAGAATGAGGTGAGCTGTTCTGTGAAAGTCATGGACTGGATGTAAAAGGGAGCACTGAGCCTTTGTAGCAACCACAAAAGACCACCCCACTCAAAACAGTCAAAACAGTTAAAAATTGCCAATGACCAAATCCTGACATCCTTATTCAGGAAAAATATGCTTTCCAATTAGGGTTAGCAGGAGATTGCCAACGTGAGGATCTCTGAATTTTGCCTTATCGTTACAAAATGCAGACCTTGTCCGGAAACAGCTAAGACAAACATCCAACCATTTGGGCCACTGACCTTCAGGAGAGCAAGGACTGAAAATGACTCTTGTTACGTTTAACCCTGGGCCTGCTGCCAAAATAGCACTGCTAGGTCGAAGAACCAGTCATAGGTCTGATGTTTGCTATTTCAGGCTCTACCATGGCTGGAAACAAGCTGATGGAACTTGCTCCCAGAACATTTAAGCCTGGTTGCACAGTGATCATAATGCCAAAAAGAGGTGTCTGAGTTGCCAAAAGCTTTTTTTACTGCAAAATCTTTTCCTGTCCTCTGGTCAAAAGGAAGGCAAAACACGTTTCATCTGAGGAAAAAACATCCTGGCTTCCCAGATCCAGCTTAATTAAAACTGTCCCTCCACACAAGGCCATGTTAACACAGGTCTTTGCATTTATGGGAAACACCTTGTGATTTTAGGGGGTTCCACTACCAGCCTTTGTGCGCAAATGTATCATTATCCAGCCTGTCAGGCAGATTTTCACCTTGGTGGAGAACTGCTCTCACACTGTGTATATCCGCAGTGCTCGTTTGGACCCCTGTGACTTCCATCTCTTTGGCAAAAAACAACTACACAATAAATAGTCTTTGGACAAGGGAATTCCCTTTCTTAGCATTACTAAAAATAACAGGAGGAGAACTAGTTGCAGAGAGATTTAAAAAAAAAAAAAGAAATCCTAATCAGGATCCTAAATAAATGTAGCAAAATCATTCAGCACAGATACCTCAAACATGCAGCCAGGATCAAACAGCGTTTCTCTTTGACTTCAGTACAATTATGCTGGTTTGCATCAGCCAAGAGAGAATTGACAAAAATTCCTGCTGAAAGACATGTCCCTCCTTTGAGCCACAGACTTGCAAGGACTGTTGTTTCCTGATCTGACCAGCTTGGGCAAATTGGCTCTCTTTGGGCTTTCTGCTAATTGTCTCAAGCTGCCTGGCCATAGTGCTTATTTCCACTGACCTTGGTTGAAACACCTTAGCAGGAGGCAAATACACTTAGTATAGAAGTGGATCAAGCTGCACAGCCCCTGCATCCCGTGTTAAATTGCCCACATTTCGCAGGCTGCAGCTTCATCTCTAGTTATCTCAGAGGAAAAAAACCCCAAAACAACAAACACACTACAAACCCCCACCACAGAAAAAAAAACAACAAACACGACAAACCACAGGTGTGTGCACTGCAGAAGCCAGCAACACAAACCAAGGAAAGCAAAAAGTGAGAACTCAGTCACACCCCTTGATAACGGGGAGGCTGGGGGGTGGGGGGGAATTAAGTGCCTCACATCCCCAGCCCTTTTCAGCCACAGCTGCCTCTAGTCCAGCTTTCTCTGCCCACATTCCCCCACAACCTCCCTCAGAGCACCAGCAGATGCTTTTTGGCAGGCTGACCTTTCCTGGGCCTTGATGCAGCTTTGGTCCTGGTAGGAGTTATTTATACCGGAGGAGCCAGAGTAGAGCCACTTTCCCTCCTCCTCCATGGGTGTTGCATACAGAGCTCAGCCTAAAGTCCCCAAGGTAGGCTTTGGTCATGGCCAGGCTATAAATGCTGACTTGGGAAATGCCTTATTTGTAATGCTGCTGAGGAGAACTGCTGCAAGCAAGTGCAATGGCTGCTAACCAATGACCCAAAGCCTCTGAGCAACCTGATCTTTCAGCATTGCTATATGTGGATGGACAAAGATCCTTATTTCCCACAAGTTGATTCTCCCTTAAATAAGCCTCTTTGCTGCCAAGGTGAAGCTAATCATTACAAAGCCATTGTGTGAGGAGGTGAGTTCCTCAACACAGGTTGACCTACCTCCCTTCCTTTACTATTACAGTAGAAAGCTTTCAGCTCTTCCTGCACATGATGCCTTGAGGGCTCAAACTACTCTTTGGTTCTCCTCCCTCCTTATTACCTGCAATAGTTGCAGGGATAGATCCTAATTTGCCTAATGCCTGCTGGAATCAGTTTACCTGTTGTGTCCAGTTTGTTCCTGCCTTCCTAAGAAAAGCCTGTTGTGCACTTGGCCATTTACCTACTTTGCAGCCAAGTATCTGGAGCCACCAGTGAGTGATGCTGTTCAGGATTACAGCAGAAACAGGTTTCTACAGAAATCACAGGATTGTACAGGTCTGAGATGACTTTCAGATGAAGCCCTCAGAAAGGTGTAACAACTCTACAGGACTATGTCTGCATTTGTGACTAGCCTAGTGACTGCACTTGTGCTGAAGGGATCCATCTTAGCTTTGGGCAGAGAGAAGAAGCTTTTCTGTCCTGGTCATATATGTATGTTTAAATGTGAACCTGAACCACACAGAGGGGCCTGACTCCAGTGGTGTGGCCTTCCTTGGATCCCTCCTTGAACAGGGCATTGCCATGTGTGGTTACTGGGGCTTCCCAAGAGTCCTCTGGCAGCAGATGGGCTTCAACCATATACGGGGCCTCGGCAAGTGTGAGAGAAGGAGGGCCCGCCTGCTTTGCTGCTGGGGATCAGCACTTCCTTGGAGTGGCCTTAGTTCTGAGAACGGTGCAAACTGAGAAACCCAAATTGCATCCTCACCTCTCTAACTCCAGGCGTGCAAAAAAGGAGGGATTTAGGCTGGACCACAGCAGTTATAAAAGATCCATCTATTCGGCCTCAAAACTTTGGGTAAATTTGGCTGCAGGGCCCTCTTTCAAGGGTTTTGCTGCCAGTCTATTCCCATACCCGCAGTACCTTGGCTCCCTACTCACATTTGTTGGCAAACACATCACATATAATGCTTTCTTGCCTGTTGCTTTCAGAACACAGTCTATAATTAAATTTTTAAACTCATTTAAAATGTGGGGGTTATTTTTCCTTCCTTTTTTTTTTCTTTCCTCCATTAAAAAGAACAGGGGATACCTGGATTTGATGTGAGGTTTTAAACTGGAATGTGCAGTGGAGGGGGATTTTTCACATAATTCAGCCTGGCATAGAGTTATCAGGGAGTCTGAAATGTCTTCACAGCTGCATCCAGCTCAGGGCTGTGTCTTCATACAGAGACCACCTGACAGACACGATTTCCTTGTGCTACCCCTCCTCCCATGACAGTTTTGTACCATCTATGTGGTGGTTACAGCATGGGAAAGAAGAGGAACTACTGAAGGTCATTTACCCTCCTTTTAGCAGGGTTTTAATGGAGGAAAACAGGGAAAAGAGTAAATGCTATGTGATCACCCTATTCTTTTTGAATCTGGCAAGTGCCTTGTAGAGCACCAGGTAACTACATGGTACAACAACCTGAGGCTCTTTTCCCCAAATGCTGGGCATGGGAAGAAAGGAGTAGCCAGAGAACTTCAATAGCTGGGATGAAAGAGGTGGAGACAGACACAAGGGTGATGGGAGGCTGAGTAGGGCAGAAATAAAGAGGCAAAAAGAGCCCCCCCTCAGTATCCATCCAGACTCAGGAGCAAGGAAGGAGAGTAGAAAATCCATGGGAGTTTCTGTGAGGGTTACTTCAAGCAGCCATAAGACTACATCAAGCCTTATGCCTGTTATCTCCCCCATTTGTCTCTCCCTGTGGCCTCTTCAGGTTCAATTTGTTTAAATGGGAGGTGGATGGAGCTTTGTTTGCAGCACACAGGTCTAGCAGTGTTTGCTGCAGAGCATCTTAGACTGCCTTTGGGGCAATTTAGAGAATGAAATGTTTGCCTCCTGGTCAATCACTGCCAGGAAATGGCTGATCCAGCACTAGTGGTTGCTGTCAAAAATCATGCCAATAAAAACAGAGGAATAAAGTGAGTGGTTGAAAATGGAGATAGGCCCAAGCGAGCAGCTGGGTCTGTATGTCATGTGAGCCTCCATCACTGCAGTGGGACTACACAGATTCCACATGCTAAGCAAAGCCCTCTGGCCATAAAACACAGGGCTACAGATGCATTTTCCACCAGCTTCCAATGCTCAGCCTGCTTCAGGTTTTCTTTCTATATTAATCTCTGAATTAGCCTCTTCACAGGTAGCAGAAAGACATCTCTTTGGACAGAAACTTACAGTTCTAATTGGCTCAGTACTTAATTCCTTTCTTCCCGGGCTTGCAGCAGTTGCAATCACAGCAGGACTATCAAGTGTTTTCTGTGCACTGAGGGACAGGCAGGTGAAGGGTCTGGCTCTCAATTCTTCTGGCTTGTCATTTTTATCAGGCTGTGTCCTCCCCCCTTGGTCATTACAGGATAAGAAAGGCATTTTACTGTATTTTCTCAACCTTTAGCTTGTCCATCATTTCATGAGCAGGCTGCAGCAGGGAAAGAGAAGAGATAAACCGTGGGGGGAGGGTCGGTTCAGGCCATTAGAGCCTCTGCGGTAAGAAAAGAGATGGAAGGTGCATCTACTTTCGAGGGGGATGTTAGAAGGTCAGGAAGAGGGGGGTGATGACAGGGCTGTGAGTCCAGAGAAAACAGAGCTACAGAGTTTACACAGGGACCCACGGGAGAAGGCTGTGGGCAACTGCCTGTTTTGCTTGTCTTCACAGTCAGCTACGAAAGGGGGTGGGATAAACATCTAAGCACGGTGTAGACAGGGGAAGAAGAGGGAGTCTCCTGTGGGCTGGTGTGAGAAGGGCAGACAGGCGATCCCTAGGGGTGTCTGTTGCCAGATGTGCCCGCAGAAGAAATCACGAGGTCCATCCATGCATACAGCACGCAAAATGGGGAGCTCCTAGTAGAATCACGGAGAAAAGTCTCAACTCGTGAAGGGAAAATTACACAGCCGGGCATTTAGCACAGGGACGATGGGCTAAAGTCTGCCCGCGGTGCCGGGAGGGGCTCAGCAGCCGAGGCAGAGCGCGGTGCTTGGCAGCCGTGCCGCTGTCGGTCCCTGCCAGGCTCAGCCTGTGCCCGACCGCTGGCAAACTCCCTCCGGGTTGGTTTAAAAATAAGCACTTCAGCCTGTTGGGCGGCCTTCCTTGGAAAAATAAACACGGCAGCCCTGCCAGCCCGCCGGGGCGCACACACGCACACCTCGGGGGCACCTCCTCGACGGCGGGTACCCCCAGAGTTCACTTGGGATCAAAACAACACCCTCGGCCCCCAGCCTGACCCCACATCCCCCAGCCGTACCCCTCACCCTGCCAGGAGCCCCCCGAGCCTTGGCGGGATGCGGGGGATTCCCGCAGGTGAGCGCTGCGGGCCCGCCCGCGCCGTGGAGCAGGAGCGCCTCCCGCAGGGATCCGCGGGAAGAGCCGGCACAGCGGGATAAAAACCCGCACGGAGTGGGGAGGATAAAACCCACGCCCCCAAAACCCCTGAACTTCAGGATGTTTAAATAGACTAAACCGTTTTGTTTTTTTTTTTTTTCTTTTGCAATGACATCCTCTCTGCGGTAGGGAACTGGCTGGATGTCTCTCGCGGCTGTTTCGCAAGTCTCGGGATGGGGAAAAAAAGGACTAAAAGTATCCTTACGCTTACAAAGAAGGGACGGACAGACCCCTGCAATGCAATTCGGTCTCAGAGGCACTGAGACCAGGAACCAAAACAACCCATCTAACTTGCAAGTGGTTGTATCGTTAAAAGGCCATAAACTCACATTAGCCAATACTCTAAACAGCAAATCAATCACATTTTCATTCTGACGGGAGTGGCTGCCTTGGTGGATAGCTGAGAAACGCTCGAGACAAGGATCTTGTGTTTGTCATAAATTTCAGAAAGTCTTTGCCCCTCTCTCTGACTTTATTTTTCATGGGTAGCCAAGGGAGGTGCGAGTTGGGGGTCTCTGGTTTCTACATAGTTGAGAAGGCACACTTCAGACTAGCTGTAGCTGCCTGCCTCCTGCTAGTGGAAGAAGGTTTGAAGCCCAGTTCTGCAGGGAACTTAATACTTTCAGTAACATCTCCAAGGCCAGCATAAATTTTGCCAGAGCAGGAGAAGCTGCAAACACTTGCGAGAAATTAAAGTCATCCTGGCAAGTTGAGGAAATTACATAAAATAAATGGTAGGTAATTCAGTTAAGGCAAAGGCACTTAAGGAGGAATAACCATCTGTACAAATGTATAATGCTGAGTTGCCAGTGCTTTAATAGCTCTGCAGAAAGGTCTCTGGGTGTTAAAATGGGTCAAAAACAAATTAAGGTTGGTGTTCACGGCAATGGAAGCGTAAAAACAAACAATTACATTGTTTGGGTAATTGATGCCTAAAGTCATACATGTTAAACCTGCCCTATCGAGCGAGTCAGGAGACCTTGAGCCCAGCCAGAAAGCAAACAAACATTGTTTCATCTCCATGACTGTGAAGTGAACCTTTCACTTTCCCCGGGTCTGTAAGGGCCTCAGCTGAAGTCAGTGTCAGGGCTTCTTTCCCATGGCACAGGAAAGAGGGAGGCAGTCCATCGGAGAGCATACAAGATGACCAGAGTTTTAGAAAACTTTATGATCTGTGGGAAGAGGACCACAAGACTTGGCCTTACATAGAAAAGAGCCAAAGGCAGGGCAGCAACTCACAGAATCGCACCTCCAAGACAAAGTCCAACCTTTGACCGTGTCAACTAG